CAGGCTAGTTCTCCATCTAGATGTCATTTTCAGGCTTCAAAATGAGTGCGGTCTCTACCTAGAAAGTATTTTTGGACGAAATGTAAAGTTCTTATTTAAACAGCACCAAACTGGAGGTTGTTTCATGGGGTTTAATACCTGATTTTTTGGGGGGCCCCAAACCTAGTGAGCCAAGTATTTAAATAGCTATTTATGTCATTTTACCAGGCTTATTCTCCATTTAGATATCATTTTCACGCTTCAAAATTAGCACAGTCTCTTTCTAGACTGTATCTTTGGACATTAAAAGTCAATTTCTCATCTAAACAGCAACAAACTGGACATTGTTTCATGGGGTTTAATACTGTTTTTTTTAAGCTCCAAATCTAGTGAGCCATGTAAATAAATTGCTATTTATGTCATTTTACTAGGCTAGTTCTCCATCCATAATTAATTTTCAGTCTTCAAAGTGAGCACGGTCCTTATCTAGACAGTATTTTTGGACGTAAAATGTGAAGTTCTTAACTAAACTGCACCAAACTGGACATTGTTTCATGGGGTTTAATACTTGATTTTTTTTTGTGAGTCATGTATATAAATGGCTATTTATGTCATTTAACCAGGCTAGTTCTCCATCTAGATGTCATTTTCAGGCTTCAAAATGAGTGCGGTCTCTACCTAGAAAGTATTTTTGGACGAAATGTAAAGTTCTTATTTAAACAGCACCAAACTGGAGGTTGTTTCATAGGGTTTATTACCTGATTTTTTGGGGGGCCCCAAACCTAGTGAACCATGTATATAAATGGCTATTTATGTCATTTTACCAGGCTAGTTCTCCATCTAGACATCATTTTCAGGCTTCAAAATGAGTACGATCCCTATCTAGACAGTAGTTTTAGACATAAAAAGTCAATTTTTTTAATCTAAATGGCACCAAACTGGACATTGTTTCATGGGGTTTAATACCTGATTTTTGGGCTCCAAATCTAGTGAACCATGTATATAAATGGCTATTTATGTCATTTTACCAGGCTAGTTCTCCATCTAGATGTCATTTTCAGGCTTCAAAATGAGTGCGGTCTCTACCTAGAAAGTATTTTTGGACGAAATGTAAAGTTCTTATTTAAACAGCACCAAACTGGAGGTTGTTTCATAGGGTTTATTACCTGATTTTTTGGGGGGGGCTCCAAACCTAGTGAGCCAAGTATTTAAATAGCTATTTATGTCATTTTACCAGGCTAATTCTCCATCTAGACATCATTTTTAGGCTTCAAAATGAGTACGATCCCTATCTAGACAGTAGTTTTAGACATAAAAAGTCAATTTTTTTAATCTAAATGGCACCAAACTGGACATTGTTTCATGGGGTTTAATACCTGATTTTTGTGCTCCAAATCTAGTGAGCCATGTATATAAATGGCTATTTATGTCATTTTACCAGGCTAGTTCTCCATCTATACATCATTTTCAGGCTTGCAACTGAGCGTGGTCTCTATCTAGACAGTATTTTTGGACATAAAATGTGAAGTTTCTTTTCTAAATGGTAGCAAACTAGACATTGTTTCATGGGGTTTAATATCTGCTTTTTTTGGGCTCCAAATCTTGTCAGCCATGTATATAAATGGCTATTTATGTCATTTTACCAAGCTAGTTCTCCATCTATACATCATTTTCAGGCTACAAAATGAGCGCTGCCCCTATGTAGATAGCATTTTTGGTCAACAGAGCTAGTGAGCTCCCAGTCTAGATGACATTTTTTGTCATACCTAATGAGCAGGCAGCATACACTGACTAAAAATTGTGTCATGATAAAATTCATAGCTAGACAGCATTCGGAGGCATCAAACATGGTGTGTTGTCCAGCAAGCCAGCATTCTGAGCTGTCAGACTCAGTGCTCTGCCAACCTAGACAGCATTCTGAACCGTCAAACATAGTGAGCTGCTACCTATGCATTTTGCGGTTGTCGTCTGAAGAAATTAGTTGGTCCGAAAGCACATTTGGTTTGCTGTTGTTAACATCTCGTTCATATACACATCCTTTTCTCTTCATGCTCTTTGCTTTTGGCTTTGTTTCGATGGTACAGAGGAAAAATGGGTTTCTGTGACCCACTTTTCCCGATGACCTCACCTACCTGCATCGGTCAGCGCTCGCTTGTTAAACTGGGGCGTAACCACCTTTCGATTCACTTCAGGTATTATTTGTGCGCAAAAAATGTGCATGAAAACTAGAGATTTTTATAGAGGCACAAGGGAACGTCACTTTAAGCAGGGCGTGTGTGTGTGACTGCGGCACTGGGTTCGATGGGTAGCTTACGTGCACCCTCTGCAAGCGAATAAGGTGGATTTGCAGTGCTGGCGTGCTCCTACCCTGACAGACTGTCCCACAGTGGCACTTCGCCACAGTTGGTCGTTCTTGTGTGTGTGTGTGTGTGTGTGTATGTGTGTGTGTCTCTTTGCCGTCTGCCTCTCTCTCCGGTCCACAGGGGCCATCTGATTGGCTCTTGAGGGTGGAGCCCTGCTTAGCGCTGACATACTGCACCCAACCCTCAGGGCGTTCTGATTGGCCAGGGGAGGGATGACATCACAAAGGCCAGCTGTTGATTTGGCGGAGAGTGTGTGTGCGTGAGAGAGAGAGAGGAGAATCAGGAAGGATTGCGGCAGCAATGGCTTTGGGCAGGTACGCGAACGCTCCGCGCTCAGACGGAGGAGAGCAGAGCTGCACTGAGCGCGCTCCGTTTGAAGGCACTCGGGCTGCTATGGAAACTAATGATGTGAGCCCAGCAGTGGATCATGAACGACAGGCAGGTGTGTGTGAATGTGAAGTCCTGGACGACGTGTTGATTTGCTTGCTGATTTGCTTGTTTAAAATTGGGCTGAACGCAAAACTTTGAAGTTGAAATGTTGTATGTGTGTTTTAACAATGAAACACTTCAGCGAAAGAAAGAATGAGTAAATATTTACAGTTTTTAAATATTTTTAATACCTTATTATTGATAAACCTTCATTGTGACTAAATATGCGTGTCAGCAAATTGCACTCATGCTTGCGTGCGTGCGTGTGTGTGTGTGTGTCTGCGCACTTTGTAATGACATTCTCATAATTGCTCTATTTTACAATTTAAAAAAAGTGCCCGAGGCAGCTATCAGCGAAAAGCTGGGTGTTTGTGTCAGTGTAAATTACAGCCGAAGGCAGCACGGCTAATATCGTTAATGTGGCAAATCGTGTAAATGAACTGATGAGGAGAGGAGAGGAGAAGAATAGCTCGACTGTGACAGCGGCCACACACTGAGAACACGGATTGTGACGGGAGGGGGAAAAAAGGAGGGAAAACCATTAGCGCCGCTTTTATCTAGAAATATGGGCCATTTGCATATTAGTCTAAAACAGGGGTGAAGTGAAATACGCGTCGCCTGGAGCATGGCACGGTGATGCGCTGCTTTTGTCAGGAGGGTAAGTGCTCGTTGCTGCCTGAAATATGGGGATTAATAATTGATAATGGGAAATTACGGATGGGCTTCATTGTCTCGGACAAAACAAAGCAAGATGACGATTGGGGTTTTTTTGTGAAAAGTTTAAAAAGTTGTGTCATGGCTTGTCTTTCTTTTATTTACTGTTTCTTTATTTTTGATGTTTGTGAAGATGTATTAAAATTTTTAAAAGACCGAACATTTAAGCGAGAGTCGTGTTTGTTTGATTGTGTTTTTATTTTGTTGTTTGTTTTGTCTGATTTAAAGTCTGTCGCAGATTTTATCTTTATACATGGTAAACTACGTTGATACATTATTTTTTTTTTTGGTATTGTACTAGATGAGCTTCCCACTTAGACAGCGTTTCTAGGCATTATACTTAGTGAGCTGCCTATCTAGGCTGCATTTTTGAGCATCAAATATCTTATTAAGTGTTTGCCTAGACAGCATTTGTGAGCATCACAATTAGCGCGCTGCCTTCCTAGACAGTGTTTTTGGGGCGTAAAATCTTCTAAACTGCTTAAATGGATGCATTTTTGGCTTTATACCTGGTGAGATGCCTACCTATGTGACATTTCAAGGCATCAAAAGCTTATTAACTGTGGGCTTCAACTTCATCTGCTGAATGCAAAAATGTAAACGTAAAACCTTGTTTTATGACAGTCAAATCTTGTAGGCTGGTTTTCTTAATGCATAATGAGCCGCCTATGTAGACTGCATTTTCAAGTGTCAAAAGCTTATTAACCGATTTTCTATACAGCAATTGTGTTCATCATACTTTGTGCGCTAGACAGCATAATTTTTTTTAAAATGCAAAACACCTTGTGCCTTTCTAGATGTGCTAAGGCATTGTTGTCTCCCTAAGTAGCAGTTTTGGCCATGATTTTCATCTGCTAAATGCATAAATGTAAATGTAAATCCTTGTTAAACGCCTACCCACAAAGTATTTTTGGCCATAAAATCTAGTGAGCCGTGATCCTTCTTTTTTTTTTTTTTCGTGCATTATACCTATTGAACCGCCTACCTAGACTGCGCTTTCAGACATCAAAGGCTGTTTGCCTTGACAGCAAGTATCATACTTAGTTCGCTGCCTTCCTAGACAGCAATTTGGGCTATTGAATCAGGCTTCCTTTCTACACCAGCAGCAAACCTAGTGAGCTGTCTACCTAGATGACTTGCGCTCAACCTAGACAGCAATGTCGAGCATTATAAATTGTGCTACCTTTCTTAATTCTCATTTTGGGCATCACACCCACACTAAACAGCATTTCTAGGGTGGAAAAACCTAGTTATCGTCCTTTTAAGACTATGAAATCTTAGTCAACTCTCAAATGTGACAATATTTTTAGGTGTCGTACCTTGTAAATTCTACAACTGAATCTTGCAGCAACTTCGTGGCTAATTCGTATACATTTTTATGATCTCATACATGTTAGTACGGTTTGCTCATCCTCCAATGAGGGGTGGGGTCAGGGGTGTGGTTTTTGGGGGCACGCCTCCTTTTTGAAGTCATACCTATTGAAATGCTACGAATTCGTACAAATTGGCCACATTTCTGACAACACGATCCCTCGTGAGATCAAAAGGAATTTATATAAAATAGCTAGCTAGACATCTTGATTGATTTATTTATTTTTTCTTGGTATCTAGTAAACATAATTTTTGATCGTCGTATTCGACAAATGCAGGTTTTTCTACCAAGGCTGCAGTACATTTGAGGATTTTTTTTGCTTAAAATGCTGTCTAGGCAGTGTTTGAAACGCAGCCTGTTTGTGTGCTTCTGCCATGGTTGATTTTTCCTGATTTTCTTCATTTTTTTTTTTTTTTTTTTTTTAATCCTCCAGCGTCAAACTCGGACATCTGTACTGTCAAGTTTGTGAAAATATACAGCCGTCGAGGTCCACAGGGAGCCTTTTCTCTCTGGTGATGCTCGGAAGAACTTATTGAATATGGAGCGAAAACTGTTGTGCGCGCAGGAGGGGGAGGGATGCAGGCGAGGGCGTATTTTGAAATGCAGATTTGGATTTTTCACTTCACCTCGACATAAACGGCGTGTTCGGAGGAATAGATAACGGCAGCGCTGAGATTAGCCTGCAGCAAGAGAGCGAGAGAGAGAGACGCTCGCACATTTCAGAACAGCGCTCGTGTAATTCCTGCCAACAAGTAGGTGTTGCAATCCGTGTGTGGGAGGGAAAGCGCTCTCATAACTCATAATTGCCCTTGAGAGCGTCACTTGGTGCGCAATTGTTCGTCTCTGCAACCCAGAACGGCTTTGTCCATTTTTGAGATCAAGAAACGCAAGGTGACGTGGGATAATGCTATTGACCTGTGCGCAAAACACTCATGGAGAAGTCACGGTCTTGGATAATTCTGACGGACCGTCTGGCTGTTTGGATGACAGCTTGTGTGTTTATGCGCGCTTGTGTGGTCATACCCACCTGTTCTTGTCATTGCCGCCACCTGCGTTTTCTGTCACATTGAGCGCGATGCTAATCCCTTGAATTTTGATTAGTGTGTGTCTGTGTGTGTGTGTTTGTGTGTGTCCTCTCCTCTAGTTAGGTTTTGTGTTCTGAATCCTTAGCTGGACTCCACCATGGCCAGGTTGTACATGCATTTGGACCCAGTTGGTGCACTTTGAATCCGGTTAAGCCCGTTTGACCTCGAGATACAGGGTGGGTCAAGATTTGGCACAGGTATCTAGATTGGCGGTGGCAGAGAAGGTGTCAAAGGGGGGGTTGTAGGGCCATCGATTCCCAAGTGAACACTGAGCCATATGTTTAGTTCACGGGATTCAATGAACGAACCCTACTGTTGTGAAGATAACACTTTATCGTTATTAAACGTCACATTGTTTTTCAGGTAACATTAATGATTTTAATTTTCAACAATATGATTGGTAGGTATTTTTGGGATTAAAAGAATAGTTTGGTCTGAAATGAATATATTGCCATCATTTACGAACTCTTCACTTGATCAAAACCTATTTGAGATTCTTTTTGGTGTTTTAAAGAAAGCAGATATTTTGAACGATGGCATCCATTGACTATTTGTTTTGATGCTATGGAAGTCAATGGCTGCAACCAATCAACATTTCTCAAAATATCTTCCTTTGTGTTTAACAGAGGAAAGAAACTTTTTAAAACCACATGCGGGAGAGTAAATGATGAAGTTGGTTTTTTATTATTGGAGATGTGAATTATTCTTTAAAGTTGGCACCAAGGTTGGTATCAATAACTAAAGCAGTTTTTTTTGTTGTTGTTTAAAAAAATTAAATCTGAAAAATTTTAGCAAAAAAAAAGAGTGCTCTATACAATGGTAATGGTTATTATTATTATGTAAATGAGACATATAGGAAAGTACTGAGTTGATTCAGCTGAATAATGCCTTTTGCACTGTTTTGATGCAAAATATTTGTCCAAGATTTGCAATTTCAGCACATTACACTGGAATTTTGATAATTATCATATGTCAGATATTAGGATTCATTATTTTGCTACGAAAATGCATTTCATACCACACATTTTGGATTGTAGGTTGATTTTTATTTTTTTTCTGTCAATCTGACTTTTTTGTTCTCTTTGAGTTGCAGTTGTATTAAATTAATTAGTTCCAAAATTTGTTTATTTTCCACTTAAATAATAGTTCTCCCAAAACTGACATTTCTGTCATGATTTGCTTAACGTTTGCTTGTTCTAAACCAGGTTGTGTTCAATACAATAAATATTAAAGAATGTTAACCATTGACTTCCATAGTATTTGTTTTTCATGGTATGGACTTAATTGGGAAACATTCTTCAAAATGTCTTCTTTTGTGGTCAACAAAACAATCAAAAATCCCTCTAAACTGGCATGGAACATGTGAAGGGTGAGTAAATGATGACAGAACTAATTTTGGGGTGAGCCATCCCCTTAGCATAGTAGTATGTTTTTAAAGTGAGGGTGGAGCCGTACGATCAGCTTTGTATTCATGATACCTCATTAAGATGCTTAAAATGCGTCAAAGGTTCATCGTTAAACGTGACTTCCTCTCGGCGTATTTTAATGTTCCTGTCTCTCTGCGGCACAGTCTGTTCTCCATATTCATGTCACCACTCTGACACTTTTTCAAAAGCGCTGCAGTGCTTCGGCTCCCGAAAGACCTTCCAGACTCTTCGTCAAACATCCCTCTACTGTACCCGTGCATCCCTGACCTCTTGACCCCTGCCGTATTTGACCCCTGACCTCTGTCCTTTGTGTGTGCATGTGTGTGACAGGTGTCCGAGGGTGATGCGGAGTGTGTGTGTGAGCCGTGGCTTGGCGACCCGACCCGAGCGCTGGTGACGGGGGTCATGGGACTGCTGCTGCTGCTGCCCCCTGTCCGTCTCTCAGTCTGCCCCGCTGCTTCTGGAGGCCCCAGGGTCCTACGCTCCCTAAGGTTCCTGCCCAGTCCTGAAAACAGCACAGCTGGTAAACGACAACGCAAATCTGCCTTATCTTTCTCAATATGTCATTAATCGGAATACATTTTTGTTTGCTTTACTTAGATAAGTTGTATTTATTTGCAAAAACATGTGACGAAAAAAAAAAGAAAAAGCTATGAAGCAAAAGATATGGTTCCTAAATTTAAATGGTTGCGCAATTTGTGTCTACGACTTGCATAATTCGCCATTGCGCATGTTGTGTAACTTGTTGGAATTGCATAGCTTATGTAATACTTCATTGCGTAACGTGTATATTGTGTGTGTATGTGTATATAAAACAGGTGTATGTACATATACATACACACACACATATACATATGCACACACACACATTTATTTATTTATATATATATATATATATATATATATATATATATATATATATACATACATACATACATACATACATACATACACATACATACATACATACATACATACATACATACATACATGCCTGCATATACACAAAGTTTTATAATTTTAGTTTTTGCTGACTTTTAATTAGATTACAGATCATAATGGGATTATTTGTTAATAACATCTCATTAATTTCCAATTATCTAATCGTTGCTATGTCAAAATGACCAATCTTATTACGGCAAGGGCTTCATGAGTAATAATTAGTTTGTGAATGTACATTAGAGAATTGTTTTAAATTAATGTCATTGTGTTGATTTATTGTTTATTTAATTAATTGTTTGTTTAGTTTAGAAACACAGAAATTAAGTTTAGTTACAGAAATTAGTCTGGCGATCATTCTGGTGATCTATAAGTTTGCAACCTTATTTTTTTTACCCACATCAGATTAACGGTAGGTGCAAATTCACCTAACAAAAACGTTGGCGGCGAATTTTAATTATAAAGATTGACATTAGCCTGTAGGCTTAACTAATTGGCCACTAGTCAACTGGCTAATTAACGAGTGCTACTATGGGAAATGAATATTAATTAGGTTACTATGAAGGTTACGAAGCAGAATTAGCTCATTAATATTTGTAATTGACATTTTTTTTTCCATCGTACAGTTGTAATTTCAACTTTGTTACTATTTATAATGCTAGCATCAAAGAGCCAAACAAATGATTTTAAGTCAATGTTTTGGTCACGCAGGTGGTGATTTTCAGTCTTGTGTCTGAGGATAATGTCTGAATCTTCTCTGGACACCAGAAGTAGTGACGTTATGAAGGTTCTGGAGAGTGACGGGCCACACATGGCCGAACCGCCTGCGACCCTCAGTGACTCCCAACAACACGCATCCCAGAACAACGGCACACACACCCAGGAGTGTGTGACAGACCAAAGCTCCTCCCATCAAACTCAGGTAAACTGGGTTAATAAATCTCAAGTGGTGCATTATGGGTAGTGTAGTCCAAAATCCAACCGCAGTCCACCTGCTTATTCCACTATGCTTGAGCATGTAACAGTAGTTTGATGTAGTTTTGGGATAGTTCATTATTAATCGAACATAATGTTGCTTATTTACATGCCCTGTCAATCATCATGTGACATCCTCCACCTTTCTTTCATCATTCATTTCCTGCAATATTGGAAATCGTAAGATTTTGTCTTTAAGTTTGCGTTTAAATCTTAAAAACCAAACGCATCTTTATGAAAGTTTACGATGTGGTTGCAGATGAAATATAACATAGACATACATTTAGTAAGGTTAGATATGAATCGTAAACCACTCAAACCCCTTTACCTCTTATCTATCACCAAATCCGCCATGTTTGTAGTCTTTAACCCTTTTTTTACATTCGTTTTTGTAGTTCTAATCAAATTGACGTCCAACTTGCGATTTGCTATGGCCAATATTAATTAATTATAAATGGCAGTATGCACAGATCTGCACCTCTGGAATAAATTACCATTCAGCAATACACGTTTAAAATAATTACAATTTTATAAAAGCCAATTCTTTTTTCGAACACTATTTAGGATGTGTAGTATGTTAAGACGCAGCATATATTCGTCTATAGCGTCTTGCTAATGACTTATTATGGGATTGCGGTACGCTGTTGCCGTGGTTTCCACTATCCTAATGTCTTTGCTGAAAGACGGTGATAAGACAGCGTGATCAGCCAATAGGATCCAAGCTGGCGTGGGATTGGCTAGTGCCAGGAAAGAGAGGGAGGACAGTTAATCTGCACCTGAAATCCTGCTGGTTTATCTGCAAACCCTCAGGGTGTGTGTGTGTGTGTGTATGTGTGCGAGTGTGTGTGTGTGTGTGTGTGTGTGTGTGCGTGTGCGTGTGCGCAAACAAACAGTAGTGAACATTTAAAGTGGATCACCACCTTTTATTAAAGTTGTCCTAAAACTATCAAACAACCATTGAAAAACATTTTAATTCACTTCAAATGTTGACTACTGTATATATTAGTGCTGTTAATCGATTAAAAACAATTAACTAACTAATCTCACATTTTTTGCAATTAATCCCAATCAATCTCAGACTGTTGGCTTGAAAGACTTATTTATTACAGAAATAAAAACACAGGCATGTTAGTGCCATCTGAATTTCAAAAAAATCAATGCCAATAAACAAAAATATATATATATATTAATATATATATATATATATTTTAAATATATATATATATTTCCGTGTTGTATTCTAAGAGGACTGCAAAAAATGGGTTGGGTACCAAAACCCAATGCCGTACCTTTGTAACCGGAATGCATCAGACTGAATCACCATATAACCAAAAGCATCCAGGGGTACATCAAAGGCACACATAGGTACACGTTGTCACACACCATCTCTAAACATTTAATCCTAAACAACTTTGAGGGATACGGACACCGTCGGCGGTGTTAGCCGTTTGTTCTTCTTGTTAGCAACATATAGAAGGGAACAAGTGTAGAACAGCGCATCCAGTGAGCGACTCCCATCATATTCATCAACTCGCATGATCGCGTTCAATGAATTTGCTTTAAACTAAGCATTCTGAAGTGTGGCTGTATTTTACGAGCAATGATTCTGACATAGCAATGTTAAGCAGATACTTTACAAAACCTGTGTGTAAGGGGGGAAACATGTCATTTGAGGGCACATGGAATCATCTTAAAGGCAGACGTTAATTTTTTTATACTTAAACTTTCCGTCTAAAAGTTCTTCCTTGGTTTTGTACACATGTCGGCCACAACAGCAAATGAAAAAAATCACAATATTTTTTTTTGCGCATTAAATATTTCAAATTAATCACATGCGTTAACGCACAAATTTTGACAGCGCTAATATATATATATATCATATATACTATGCATATATATTATATATACTATGCATATATATTTATAAGTAAGTTTTTTTCAACTATTGACATACACAAATAAAATGATAATATAACAAAATAATATGAAACGATAATAATATAAACTTTTTCTCTAGAATCCAAGAAGACATGACCTTCATCAACACTCAGCAAAGACGGCAAATATTCAGGTAGTTTTTTTATGTGTGCTTTATTATCTCAATAATGCATCGTTTACGAGACACAGATGTAATAAGTTTTGTTTTGTTTTTGAGTGGACATAAGCCATGTTTGTTCTTGACGGCGAGTGTTGTGCTTACAGATTGAGAGACGGGCGCTCTGGAAACAGTCGTCAGAGCAGCTCAGAGAACGAGCAGAAGTATTCGGATCCTCGGCCCTGGAGCAGCACAGATTCAGACAGCTCTCACAGAAACCTGAAGCCCGCCATGACCAAAGCCAACAGCTTCAGCGGCATCAGTCTGCTGATCCGAGGAGACAGTACAGCAAGCAGCAAGAGCACGGGCAAACTGTCCAAAACCAGTAAATAACTCTCTCTCCTCCAGCTAGATAGTCAGGGCCATAGACTGATGTACGGATGCACAATATATCTATGTTTCTGCATATATTGATGTGCATTTTGGCTGTTTAGCTCATTATTATTTGTGAAAGGTGGATAAAGTCATATCAAAACCAAAATTATGATCAAAATATGAACAATTGCGCTTATGAAAAGAGGTTCTGTTTCCAGTAACATCATCAAGGCCTTGTGTTTAAGCCCTTCCCCTTGCATTATTTTTTTAAATCTTATTTAAAATCTAAATGTAAACTTTCCTTCCATAATCATTTGCTAAATGTGTTCCAAAGAAAGTAAAATTTAAATAAAATAGTTTGTGCTTCCGAAACGATTTTTCGTTTCTGGTGACATCATCAAGGCCTTTTTTAAGCCCCTGCCCTTGTATTTTTTTAAATAAAATTTAAAATCTAAATGTAGACTTTCCTTTAATCGCTTGCAAAAAGTATTTTTAAAAAAACCTCATCTAAATAAATTTGCTTCTAAAATGATGTTTGGTTTCCAGTGACATCAGCAAGGCCTTGCGTTTAAGCCCCTCCCCTGACGTTGTTTTTGTTTTGTTTTGTTTTTTCAAATCTAAATGTGAAAAAACAAATTTGCTTGATTAATCATTTGCAAAATGTATTCTAAAAAAAAAAAACAAATCTAAATAAAATAGTTTGCTCTTCGAAAACAATGTTCCGTTTCTGGTAGCGTCATCAAAGCCCCATGTTTAAGTCCCTCCTCTTGCATTATTTTTTTATATATAATTTAAATCTAAATGTAGACTTTCCTTCCTAAATTATTTGCTAAATGTATTCCAAAGAAAACCAAACCTGAACCACATCTGAAAATATGTTCCGTTTCTGGTGGCATTTAAGTTCAGGTTTCATGTTTAAGCCCCTCCCCTTGCATTTTTCAAAATTTTTATTTCAAAAATAAATTTAGCTTTCCTTCTTTAATCATTTGCAAAGTGTTCCGAAGAAAATCTAGTTTAAAATAGTTTGAAAGTTTGTGCTTCTGAAACCATAGCTTTGTCTCATTTTAGAGGCTGCATCCTCCGAAAGATGCATTTCAAAGAGCGCTGCGTCGAAGATTGTCTCATTTTAAAAAAAAAAATTCAAAGTCTCCTTCAAATGCAGCCTTTAAATGTGGCCATCGTTTCCCAAGTAATGAAGGATACAACTGGTGAATTCTTTGTGACCTCGAACGTCCCAATATTCATTGCGCACTAATAACGGCAGGACATTTTTAAAAGAAAATCTAAATATCTAATTGCGTAAAAAAGAAAAGTATGAAACGTCTAACTAAAAAGAGATATTTCTGATTGTGTAAATTTGTATGTGTACAAGTATCCAAGGAAAATATATTTCCAGTTTTTGTAAACCTTGTTTTGCCTTCAGAATACTTAAAATAATTTTTGAAATCACTTTGTAAAAAGTCATTACAAAATTTATTACCGCTCATTAACGGCAGCTGTTATGGTTGCTAGGTGACAAGATCTTTCCTCTGTAGGCTAGATCATCTAAATCAAAACACTCGATTCTGCCTGTGTGGACTTCGAATGAGTCACCTTGGAAGTCTACAATCCTTCGGACGATGCAGCCTCTGAAATGAGACACAGCTGATGTTCCGTTTCTGATGACATCATTAATGTTTAAGCCACTCTCCTTGCATTTTTTAAAAATTTAATTTCAAATCAAAATGTAGACTTTCCTTCCTTAATCATTCGCTGAATGTATTCCAAAGAAAACCAAATCTAAAGAAAATTGTGCTTCTGAAACGATGTTCCGTTTCTGGTGACATCATCAAGGTTATATCTTTAAGCCCCTCCCCTTGCATTTTTAAAATCTAAATGTAGAGTTGCAAAACTTATCCCAAAATAAATCCAATCTAAATAAAAATTGAGCCTCGGAAACAATATTCTGTTTCCAATGACATCAATACCTTAATTTTAAGCCCTTCCCTTGCGTTTTTTGTGTGTAATTTTAAATCCAAATGTAGACCTTAATCATTTGATACAAGTATTCCAAAGAAAATCAAATCTAAATAAAATAGTTTGAGCTTCTGACATAATGTTCCATTTTTTGTGACATCATCAAGGTCTTTTGTTTAAGCCCCTTCTCTAGCATTCTGTTTTCTTGTGTAATTTCAAATCTGAACATACACTATGCTTCCTTAATCATTATCAAAATGTTTTATAAAACTAAATAAATTTAGAAAACATAAACATTTTGACCGCAAACACTGTTTAATTGAAATAAATGGTTTAAAGTTAAAATTGACAACCAAAATTAAACATCCACTTTCTATCTATACCAAATTTACGGGTATATCATGCATCCCTAGACATCTGTAGTTTTTGAAGTAAGCCGATTTCATTTTCAGTCTACGGTTTTTGTCGGAATTACCATAATTAAAAATGTGCACATTCTTTTCCAATCAGTGCTTTGTTTTCATGCCAACCACCGTAAAGCTATGATGAATCCAGTGCTTTTTGAATGAAATGGCTATATTTAAGTCATGTCTAAACAAATTAAATATTTTCTTACAACCATAAAAATAGCTATTTACCCTCATGAAAATGCTAACCATCATAGCCGAACTTTTCACATTTTGATGTAATTCCGACATGTATTTCTTTCTTTCACTTTCACTTTCCCAGTCTTGCTCTTCTTTGCACAACGTTTTGTTCTTTTCAAGTGTGTTTTTGCAGCATCTGTTTCTGTTCATGCCTTGAATCGACCTTGTATGTGTGTGCGCGCGTCCATGCTTGCATGCGTGTGTGTGTGTGTGTGTGTGTGTGTGTGTGTGTTGCCCTCTTTTTACCCATTTCGTGTCCATCGAGGAACGGCTAAGAGAACACATTGGTATTCAGAGGCTTCTGCTCTCCGGCTTCATTGGTTATTTATGCTCTGGCATTTAGAAGCTCAAGAAGTCGACGCCAATATATATTTATCATTTTTAATATTTAATGAAGCTCCTCTTCCGTTCAGCAACCTCTGGATCTCTCCTACAGCAGAGTTGTGTTTGAACAGGCGGATCAGAAATTGTATTTTGCTGTTATCTGTCAGTGGTTTCATACTTTTTTTTTCGTTCTTTTTTTTTGGTAGCTTTCAAATATAAACATCAGATAAAACAAGTTTTACTAATGTATTTTTTTACTTTGATTATTTAGCAAAAACCCTTACGTGGTTTGCTTTCAGATTAATATTTGATGATTTCTAAATATTTTAGTTTAGCTTTTGTATATTTATTATTTTATTCCTTTTGGGGGGGGGGGGGGGGGTACGGTGAGGGGTTATTACAGAAAAATACCCTGTGTGATTTGCAGTCAGATTATATATTTTGTTTATTTTAATCAGAATTTTAACAATTATTTTATAGGAATATAAATACACGATTCTTCCTCCGACTACTATAGATACAGTTGCAATCAGAACTATTAAACCCCCTGAATTATTAGCCTCCGTTTATTTTTTTTCCCCAATTTCTGTTTAACGGAGAGAAGATTTTTTCAGCACATTTCTAAACATAATAGTTTTAATAACTCATCTCTAATAACTGATTTATCTTAATAACTGATTTATCTTTGCCATGATGACAGTAAATAATATTTGACCTGATATTTTTCAAGCCACTTCTAAACAGCTTAAAGTGACATTTAAAGGCTTAAATAGGTAAATTGGGTTAACTAAGCAGGTTAGGGTAATTAGGCAAGTTATTGTATAACGATGGTTTGTTCTGTGTAGACTATCGAAAAAAATATATAAATATATTTTTTTAAATTAAAACTGCTTTTATTTTAGCTGAAATTAAACAAATAAGACTTTCTCCAGAATATTATCATATATTAATATTATCAGACATACTGTGAAAATTTCCTAGCTATGTTAAGCATTATAGGCCATTTACTTCTTTTCTGTCCTTGGCCAATCACATACTGTCACATTATTAGTGCTGTGTAAGCATTATCTAAATCAATTTTACATAGATATAAATTGAAACTAAATACATTGTTGCGTGTTTTACAATATGCTGTAATAAATTTGAACATGCATTGTTTTTCTTTTATCACACATATGTAGACATTGCATGAAACATTAGGTCATGAATATGTACTTGAAAGTCTTGGAAAAGTCATGGAAAAGTCATGTAATTTTAGTCGCAAAAATGTGCATGAACCCTGTAATTCTGATTGCAACTAGATAAAAATTAGAAAAAAAATTAGATTTGTTGCTTTTATTTTAGTTACTAACAAAACCAAATTTGCTCCTAATTTTAGTTTTTATTTAAATCATTATTGTCATAAATTCTATACGGTTTGCAGTCATATTTATATTTAAATTTAATTTCAATTTAATAGCTGGATGTATGTTTTATTTTTATTTTATTGTATTGTTTTATTGTATTTCGTTATATTTTAAATAATCACCATTTAGAAGTAATACATTTAGATTCCTTTCTATTTTTTTATCAACCCTTTAAATTAAATAAATCTGAAATTAAATGTAATGAATAATAAAGAATGAATAGTCATAATAAATTAACAAAAATCTAACAACTTTCTTAAAAATAATCGCTATTTAATCGCTCTTTAACAGTCACCTAATACATCTTATTTTTTTGTCATATTTTTTTATTCAAACCCCCTTGCTTGCCTCCATCATTTTTTAACTTTGATATAATTTCCTGTCTATATATATTATCTGCTCTGGCCAACATCCTATGTTCATTCCCTCATTTCACCTCCCATCCTAAGTCCTCCAGTAAAGCTCTGGTTCTCCGTCCTCCTTCAGGTTCAGACTCTTCTAGTAGCGTAGGCTCTTCTTCCGGGTCTCTCTCTCGGCCTGCTCAGCTGTCGTTACCGGGCCCGGTTCGGCCCTTCACCATGGCCCCTGTGGCCCCTCATCCCTCTGCACCCATAGGGGGCAGCGCAGCCTCTCAGAGCAGCACTACTAACGCTAACATTAACGCTAACGCTAGCTTCTACATCGTTCCTCTGGACGCCAGCGCCATCCCGCCGGGCAGCGTCCTGCTCAATCCACAGACAGGTATCTCGGAGAACGGAGATTTTTTGTTAATGTGCGATACTAATTTTCCGTACTAATTCATTTGCGCGATTGCGATTTCTGCTGTGTTCATTGACCATGTCAGGTTTGTGTTACGCAGGTCAGCCGTTCGTCAACCCCGATGGAAGTCCTGTGGTTTATAACCCTGCGATGACATCACAGCAGGGGCGAGGCCAGCAGCACATGACTTTACATCCTGCCCCGCCCCCTCCTCCACCTCCACCTCTTCCCCCTCCACCTCAGCCGGCCAATCACCTTCTAGCGCAGGTGAGTAAACACAAATCTTTTATTTCATGGTTAATAATTACAAATTATTTTAAAGTTTTTGTTATTTTTGTTTTTGTCTTGTTTTAATTGTTTATTTAGTGACGTAACCTTATAATATAGTAATTTATTGATGGTGTTTTTATCTTTCTATTTTTTAATGTAAGCTACATACATTGTGTTCGTCATTCGTTGCATGAATACTTTTGTCTTATATATTTGTTTTTAAGTTGTATTATTTTAGTAATATTTTATATACTTTTAGAATTTGTTTGGGGGTTTTTATTTTATTTTCACGAAGCACAATTTGTTTTCTTTTGACTTCTCAATGTGAAAACAAAAATCAAGTTACGTAATAAAGTTCTAAAACTACTGCATTTATTTATTTGAAAAAAAAATATTGAAATAATTTATTTGATTATTTACTATGTGTAGTTTTTCTATTCACTGCTCTGATTTTTTTGTTGAATTTATTATTTTAAACAATGAAGGATTATTTTCTCTTTGTTATCACATTCTAGTTATGACTTGTTTGTATTGCAATCAACATTTGAGCTAGTTGTAGGACGCAACTTGTAACATTTTAATAATATTTTGGCAAAATGAATTAAATAGTTTAAAAAGAGATTTGTCAAAGGAGGGCTGGGCAATAAAATCGATATCGGTATTTATTGACCAAACACCATTGTCAATATCGATAATAAAAAAAGTTTTGTTTGAAATTTCGGTATGAAGCGCTGTAGTTTCATTAAAATGTGGCTGCTGAGCACGTGCCTTGGAAGTAATGCCAGTACGCTTAGGGTGTGAGTTTGTCATTTCCGATGGAGGCAAGTGAAAATGAGTGCCGTATAGCAGCAGTGAGGAGATTGTAAATAAAAAAAGCATCTAAGGATGTTGCCAGAGTGGCTTTTTGGTTTCTTTTCTTGTGCATCCCAGCTACTAGCATCCCATCTGAACGATTTTTTTAGCATAGTGGGTAATGTAGTTATTCAACTTAACAATTTGTAACGTTGCAATAGATATATAATGATGGTTATTTCCTTTACTTGAAGGTTCAGATTTGATTATCATAATTTGTTTTGTTGACAGAGTTTGAGGTTTACTGTATCATTATTATTCACTTCTTACAGATGTTGATCTACTTTTACCATTGCACACACTTTGTATCACTTTATTACTCAAGTTTAACAGTTTCTTTAACACTTATGTTTGTTTGATTATAAAGACATCAGAAATTTAGCCTTAGTAATGTTGGTAAATTAAATAGAGGTAGTCGAATAAAAAAAGATCCTTATGTTGCTACATTTATTGTTACAAATATTCAGTAATTATCGATATTGAATTATTTGAAAACTGTATTATAACAGTTATATGAAAACTGCTTTTATTCTAGCCAAAATAAAACCATAAGACTTTCTCCAGAACAAAAAATATTATAGAAAATACTGTGAAAAATTCCTTGTTCTGTTAAACATCATTTGAGAAATATTGAAAATTAAATAAATAAAAAATCACAGCAGAGCTAATAATTTTGACTTCAACTGTATCTGTCAACATTTCTAAAAAAAAAAAAAAAAAAAGAAAAGAAATTTAGTTTTAAGGTTTTATGACAACTTGACAACTAAACACAGCACAGATCTTGTGCTTCACTTCATCACAATGAGTAGTTACATTCTTACATTGGGCTTGCGTGAGAGTAAAGGGAAGGCTGTGCGATGGTGCAGAAGTATAAATAGGAGTTGACAGTCTGCATGTTGTGAGCTGTAGTCTTTAAGTCTGTGGCTCTGTTGTTCATCTCTCTCTCTCTCTCTCTCTTTCTCTCTTTCTCCTCTCTCTGCTGTTCAGTCGTCTGCTCCGTCTGTTCAGTTTGCTGCGGCGGCTGCAGTCTCTTGTCCTCCTCTCCTGCCTCCTCCTGCTCCTCCTGCTGCTTTCACTCAGCAATACACTGTGGTACTGAAGCTGCTCTCCTCCTCCTCCTCCTCCTCCTCATCATCATCATCTACACTCTCTTTTTCCCCCATTTATTACCCCAGATCTCACAGAGAGTGTTTGTGCTCTTTTGACATCAGATTTAATACAGGGTGTCCGCTTGGACTTAGTCTTAAAATATCTTAAATTTCAAAAATAAAAATGTAAGCTTTAAAAAGTCCTAAATTCGCTAAAATATAGTGTTGTAGGTCTTCAATCATTTTAAGCGGGTTTTAATTTTACTATGTGCAAGTAAAGCTACCCAAAACGGGCTGACATCCAATAATCCATGTCTAAATCTTTTTTTATAGATTTTTTTTTTTTTATTACAAAGAGATACAGAAACAGCTGTTAGACTTTTTTACAGCACGTTCTCAACATTAAGTTCCCTAATCAGGGAAAGAAAACTAAAACAGCACATCTTTTACAACCTATTACAGCAGTAACTGGATCTTTCTTAGTGTTTAGCCCTGTAAAAGTGTAAAATTTTATTCATATTGGTCTTAAAAGGTCTTAAAAAGTCTTAAATTAGAGGGTGGGGGTGGGAATAATAATTGTTTAAATTTCTCTGTAAAATTACTTTGTTATCTGTAAAGGTTTAATAAACAAATTAATTTGTTTTTTTAAAGTCTTAAATTTGACTTGAAGAAACCTGCAGAAAAAAGTTCTTAAAAGTATTATTTAGTAAATTAGTTCAATCTGTTTTTATTGAGTTATTTTTAAATATATTTTTATATTTAAATATGAGTATAAATGGAATATTTATAATATTTATTAAATATAATATATTTTAAAAGTTAAATGTGCAATACGTAGGTATTCTTACTCTGTTACAATTGTATTTAAATTAATAATAGGTTCGTTTTTTTATAAAATGTTTTTTCTTTTATATTTTTGGTCATTTTAGATTTTTAGTATATATGGTTTAATATATAAATACATAAATACATATTTTACCATTTTTATAAAAATGTATTTGCCATATGAAAATAATAAGAACTGTGTCCCTTTAACCCTTGAACTGCTTGCTCTACCAGATGTTTGACCATATTTTGACTGTTTTAAATAATGACTGTTAAGGCATTTAAAGAATGATGGTTTACCCACACAGCATTGTTGGTTTACAAAAAAAATCAAACAAACATAATCCTGTTGCACTACTACACTTGATTTTGGTTTTATTGTAAAATAAAACAAAACAAAAACATGTTAAATGAGAATCTGAAATATTTTATGACATACTTAAAAAAAGAGAGAATTTAGTGTTCAAAATTATTTATCTTTAATATATTTTTAAATAAATTTGTCTTACACTTCATATTTTCTGTGTGTGTTAAAAAATGCATTGTGTGTTAGCTGGCGACATTAAGAGTTTTAAAAAATGCCATCCAAAATTATTTTTTTATGAAGCAGGGTTATATCCTTTTTTTTCTTGTGCCTTTTCTTAAACCATTGCTGTTACTATAATTTATTTAATTTTTTAATACTTTTAGAATTTAAAAACAAAATATCCAGTACATACTTTAAAATTGCATATCATTTGAACCTTTTTGGGGGTTTTTTGAAACAAGATTTTAGCATTTTAAATGTTTATTTTTTTGTTATTTTTGATTTATTTTACTTTAAAAATTCTATTTAATGCATTATTTATATTTAATATTCATATTTAATTTTATTTAAAAATGTAATATTCATTGCAGAATTGAATATGAAATCTAATTGTAATCAAAATGATCATGAATATAAAATGAATATTACCCCTTAAAATATTTTCACATTTCTCTTCTCTCTTTGTCAATCTTTAATTTTTTTTATTCGTCTTTCTCCCTCTTTTTTGTGTAATGATTTCCTTATTCTATTGATATCTAGTTTATCTCACAAGGTGCCAAAAAGGCAATATTTGATTGTTAGTCCGTTTTCCTGAATCCAGCAGAGGATCACTAAATGACTGAACTGGGTCAGCAGTGTTATATTTCTCAGTGTGTGTGACCCGTTTCTACCAAATATAACCCTCTCATTAGTTCATTCAGAGCACATTCATAATTAATGGCAGCAGATGTTGCGAGTGTTTTAATAAAGTGCAGTGAAGGCTGATCTCTGGTCTGCTGCTGGATGCACTTTCATCTGCCGGCCTGCTTTACTTTCTGTCATGATCCACTTGTCCAAAATAGACGTCCTTATGTTGAGTAATCAGATGAAAAGACATGCTGACCAGCTAATTAGAGCTATTGATTGATTTAGTTCATTTAATAAAAAAAAAAAAAAAGTTACATTTTGACCCAATTCTAGTTGCTTATTTACTGTTTTGGATTTTATTATTTTATTATAATTTACTTGTTATTTTATTATTTTAGTTTTATTTATTTATTTTACATATTTATTTTTATTTATTTATTTATTTTATTTTATTTTTATTTTTGCTATTTTATCAGTGTAATTTATTAATTTATAACTAAAATGTTTTTTTTATTGATTTAATATTTTACATACATTTTATATATCTACTTTAATCTACATTTTATTATTTATGTATATATATATATATATATATATATATATATATATATATATATATATATATATATATATATATATATATAATTTATTTATTTATTTATTTATTTATTTATTTATTTATTTATTGAGGTTTTCAAAAATAATTAAAGAGACGATATGTATTTTGAAACAACATTTTAAATGTAAATTGTAAGTGGTAGTTATAACTATAAGGAACTATATTTTGTGTAATTATGATTTTTCTTTTTGTATACAGTATTGCTGTAAAATGTCCCTTTTCCACAAACGCAAAAAAAGTTAAAGAATGTAAAAAACAAATTATGAAAATTAGATAAATTTATAATTAATTTACCCTTTCCCACATATGCAAAAACTATTTAAATGAATTTCTTTTAAAAAAAGAAAATAAGATAAATTAAATAAAAAAAATAAATAAATAAATAAGCTCATACATGACACACAAAAAGTGAAATGAATGAAGAGGAGATAACGCAAAATCTAAATCAAGTAACTTTAGCACGTCAAAGTCTTATTTATGTGTATAAAATGTATTTTCCCAACAACAAAATTGCAGCTAGTGAAAATGGCGAGTGGCTAGTAATGTTGGAAATCTACTAGCCACAGTGGCTGGTGATCAAAAGAGTTAATGTCATACATCAATGTATTTTGTATGTGACATTTTATAGAAACATAAATTGTGAAACATTAATTTATTAAAAATCTATTTAAGTAATTTGATTTTTAATGTTATATATGTATTGCATATATGCGTTTATTTAACATATGAAATTTGAACATTGCATTTAAAAGTCAATAATCATCCCTTTTATCTTTATATAAATTAACATGAGAAAAACAGAATATACGTGAAATTTTAGAAAAGTCCATTTCCAGCAAACATTGAGCGCTGTTAAGCGCGTTCTTAAAGGGCCATGACACCCCCCACTTTCGGTTAAAGTCTACTTCAGAATTTTTTCAAAAGATGCATGATTAATGGGCGTGGAGCTCCGCGAGCATCAGGCAGGAGTGGGCGTGGCCAGCAGGGGAGAGTGTGAGCTATTGTTCTCAGTTAGCTCACAAAATGAGACAAACCGTGAGGAGACGCATTAGTTTATAGTTTACAAAGTTAAAATGCAAAGAAATGAACAGTGATTTATTGCCCTGCTACATTTGTTATTCGTAATTTCATATACACATAACTACAATTTGTATCATTATAAAGATAAGTGTGTTCATGTAAACCCTTTAAATGAGGACTTCTCCCTCAATCCCCGTATCCAGCAGACTCAGTGCAGCAGGTCTCCTGACCTGTCTATTTTAACCATTAGCCCTGCTGGTAATCTGGAGGATTTAGGTAAACACAGCAGCACAGTGATGTGTCTGAATGTGAACGAACTCCTGATAAAAGACAACGCCGGCCATTCTCTAATTCTCGTGCTGCTCTCCCGACAAAAATGCTAACAGCACACACACAGCTTTGCTGTATGATCGGCCCTGACAAGATCGCGGGGAAAAAACATGCAACAAACCCCGTGGATGATGGAAACAAACGCATATGAGCCTTCATGAACGGCTAAATACTGTGCCGTGGTTTCCTTGTCTCTCAGCTCAGGCTTGACACTGGCAGGTCTGGCAGGTCTCATGAATAATTAAGCAGCCGGCTCTTCTCATAGGATAAGAAAACTCCGCTATGAATAATAATGAGAAACCGACGCGTCATCATTGCACTTGCAGTACTGCGCAACGTCACTGATTTTGATCCCGCCCCAAAAATCATTTTAAACCCGGAAGCTGAAATTAGCTGACAAAAGCTCAAAATTATCCAGTTTTCCCCACAATTAAAGCTGACAGGTGCTAACATTGTCTTAACTGATGCTCAACACACACATATCTGTTAATATAATAAAAAAAAAGTTCTCCGGGGTGTCCTAAACCTTTAAACAGTGCTGATTTGCCATTGTGTTCACTTGCTCACAGAAATGACTTTGATTGGTCGTGAAGGTCATCAGTTTACCAAACTCACCGCTGTTTACTACGTGTACACCAGACACTGGAGCGTTTCAAATCGCGTTGATCAGGTGGTTTGTCTATAAGCTGACATATGAGCGATCTGTTGATCAATCGCTGCTTTAAAACGCTCCAGTGTCTCTCTGTGTTTACACTCAGTAAACAACTGTAAGTTTGGTGAACTGATGCCCTTCACAGCTATTCACAGTCATTTCTGTTGAGCATGTGAACACATTGACAAATCAGCACTGTTTAAGAACGCGCTTAACAGTGCTCAAATGTTAGCGGGAAATGCATGTTTCTAAAATGTCAGTATCGACTGGTACCGAATTCCAGTATTTATATTTATTTGTTTAATTTATTTTATTTTTTAAAGATTTTTTTGTTATTTTTTACATTTGAATGATTTACCAATGTACCGTCTGTAATAATGTGTATTTGTACAGTCATTATTACTAGTTTCAGCAGTAATTAGTTTATTTTTCAACCGGAAATTGACTACCTCTTCTTCTTGTGTGTTCAGCAACAGGACGGTTTGAGCGCTCAGTTCAGTCACATGAATCTGGTGCGCCAGGCTTCAGGAGAAGCTCCCGATCCACACACAGGCCTTTACCCGCAATCCCTTCTGCTGCAGAACAATCAAGCCCCGCCTCCTGCCCCACCCCCTCCTCCACCTCCACCAACCGGATACATGATTTCCTCTGCCGGACAGACCATAAGCCCCGCCTACCAGCACCACACAGCTGTCAATCAAACCGTCCTGCAGCCACACGCGTACATGCAGACGCCCCTGCAGCAGGTACAACACACACTCCATTACCACAACATAGGCACACTCCATTACTACAACACACATTTCCATTACTACAACACACACACTTCATTCCTACAATGCACACACTCCATTCCTACAACACACACACACTTTATTACTACAACACACATTCTATTCCTGCAACACACACACTCCATTACCACAACACACACACACTCCTTTACAACAACACACACACACACATTACTACAGCACACAAACTATGTGATATTTAAGATATTAAGTGTGTGTGTGTGTGTACACACAGGTGTCGGCGTGTTACTGTGCTCCGGGTCAGTTCTCTCACTCGACTCAACACTACAGAACAGGGCCACCGGTTCACTACAGCGCCACCCAGAGCCAAACACTGGCACCACAGCAGACAGGTAAACACCCACACCCACACACACTACACACACTGCGCAGATGGAGGAGGAGTGCTGGGAGACGGGGCCGTGGCACTGTATGAGATTCATGTAGGCTTTCTCACAGTGAACCGGTCTCTTTTTCCAGCCCTCACTGACAACTCTGAACTAAACAAACACACACACACACACACATAATTGGTTTTGGTGGTTTATGAGGACTCTCCATAGGCATAATGCTTTTTATACAGTAAAAAAAGGCTCATTGTATCACCTTACCTTAAAACTCATCCCTCACAGAAAGCCTGATGCAGATTTAGAGGTAGGATTTTGAACAGTTTGAATTATGAGGACACAAGGTATGTCCTCATAAACCACCTTAACATTCTCTTACGCATCTCATTATACAAATTTGTATCCTTGTAAACCATTGAAACCCGTACACACACACACACACACACACACACAATATGAAATCTATAAATGCATGTTCGGTGGCACATCTACAGAACGTGAATGTGTTTGTGTGTATGGGTGTCTGTGTGGATGAATGTTCTTAACACATTAGAGTCGAGGCCTATATTAATGCAGATAAATAAAAAAATATATTTATTATTTCTCCTATCAGCATCATAGAAAATATTTATGAGAAAGCCTTCAACAATATCTCAATATTTCTATACCAACAAAGGCTATCTTTATGCCAATCAATCAATCAATCAATCAATCAATCAATCAATCAATCAATCAATCAATCAATCAATCAATCAATCAGTTTATAGCAGAGAAAAGCGTAGGCTGATTTACATTGATAGTAAATAAATAAGCAATAATAAAACATGTTGTCATTAAATATGTATTGTTATTAAACATAATTTGGACGCAGGCACCAAAGGCTGCCTTTATAAATTACAATAAGGAAATGAACGAATATGTAGATGTTAAGCAGCAACAAAGACTGTTAATGACAATAAATACATAAACGTATACATAAATGATAAACTAAAACAGCAACAAAGATATGTACCTAAATATATATCTATTTCTGAAATATATGAAGGCATTGTTATTGTATTCATACACTGTTTATATATATATTTTATATACATAAAATTTTATACATATTTTGTATACATTCTGTTTATTCATTCATTCATTTTCTTTCGGCTTAGTCTCTTTATTAATCAGGGGTCGCCACAGAGGAATGAACCGCCAACTGTTCCAGCATATCTTTTAAACAACAGATGCCCTTCCAGCTGCAACCCAGTACTGAAAATCATCCATAGGGGCACTCATTCACACACATACACTACAGACAATTAAGTTTATTCAATTCACCCATACCGCATGTCTTTGGACTGTGGGGGAAACCGGAGCACCTGGAGGAAACCAGGGTGCGAATTACAGGGGGGTTTGGGGGGGATTGACCCCTCCCTAATTAATGCTCGACCCTGCAGTGACCTTCTTGCTGTGAGGCCACAGTGCTAACCACTGAGCCGCTGTGTCGCACCGTGTTTATTTAATTATTTTTTAAAAATGAATCTTTTTAATGGATTAAACATCGACTTGTTTTCACAAAAGTGGATTTTTTCATAGTTATTGCCAATGTTGAGTTAAAATAATGTGTTTATCCTCAGTAATTACAAAAGTCTCAGCTCATTATTTTCATACTCGTTATTTTCGTACTCGTTATTAAGTGTCATAATTGCTGTGGATATTATTAGCATAGTAACATGCAAGCTGCATAGCAACCGCATAGCAACCCCATGGCCAGCGTATGTGCTATAAGAATTTCTCTGCAAGCACATCGTCCAGAAGCTTCCTTCCTTTAATAGCGCAGTTTCTCACCTCTCAGTGTAGAAATGAAGGAAAAACAGAGAGAAAAAAACATGTAGAGGGAAAAAACACATCGTAGCTTGTCCACAATGACATTGAAAGACCCATTTCACAGGTGTGTGTGCGTACGCGTGTGTCTGTTGTATGGTCTCAATCGACAGGCTTTTATTCTCTTCACTTTGGCCTTGCAAGGGCAGGTAAAAATAGCTGTGCGCTCAAACACAGAGAGGGAGAGAGGGAGGGAGAGAGAGAGAGGAGGGAATGAGACTTCCGTTTAGCTGTACTGGATGTAATGATAGTGGGAGAAACGCTCAACCAATTTCACCTACAGCAGAAGAATTATAATAATATTACAGCTATTTATAAATATACCTGTTAGTATTAAGTACATTTATATGAATCCTGCTGTGTAATACATATCAGGGTTAACGCAAAGGATTTATTCTACTGGTCCGATCGGGCCAAGGTATAGATTTTTACTTGCCCGGCCAAAATTTCCACTGGCCCCACCAAAGAAAAAATACAATTTAATAGCTATTTTTAGCCACATATTTTAAATAATGTGTCAAAAATAACGCCTATAATTATCTAAATGTTAAAAATTATTTAAATAATACTTTTAAAATGTCAATATATGTATAATGAACAAAATTATGTGTTAACAAAACAAAAAGAGCAATATGGAAAATGTGAAGGTATTTTATTTCATTTCGAAATTATTTAACAAAAAGGTGGCCCCAATCGGGCCAGTAATGATCCTGTCTACTGTCCCAAGCATCTCCCACACTGGCCCCGGACCATCGGGCAGTCTTTATTGTTGAGCCCTGCATATTAAATATGAAGATCGGATTTTGTTTTGAAGATATTTTTAATTAAATATTTTTTTTATTTTCATTTAAATGTTTAATATTTGTTAATCGTTTGGTTATTATTCAGTACATGTGTTTATTATATTTTATTGTTATACATTTTGATTCTATATTTTCTTTGTGTATCATTAATTACAAAACATTTTAATTTACCGTAAAGTTTCACTTATTTAATAATCAGATTAATGTTTGATACATTATTATTATTATTATTATTATTATCATTATCATTCATTCATTCTTTCATTTCCTTCGGCTTAGTCCTTTATCAACCTGGGTTCGCCACAGCTTAATGAACCACCAACTCATCCAGCATATGTTTTACACAGAGGATGCCCTTCCAGCTGCAGCCCAGTATTGGAAATTTTTTTTATTATTATTGTTATTGTTGTTGTTATAATTCTTTGTCTATCATTAAATACAAAACATTTTAATTTAAGATATTTTTAATTAAATTTTACCGTAAAGTTTCACTTATTTCATAATCAAATTAATGTTAGATACATTATTATTTTATTTTTTTTTTTCATTTTCCTTCAGCTTAGTCCCTTAATTAATCTGGGGTCGCTACAGCGGAATGAACAACCAACTTATAAAGCATAAGTTTTACACAGTGGATGCTCTTCTAGCTGCAGTTTAGTATTGGGAGATATTAGTATTATTATTGTTGTTGTTATTAATATAATCAGACCTTATTTATTTAAAATCATTTAATTTAATATATAATGTTACAATAGGAATATCAATAACCAGTTGTTACAATAAATATAATTTTATGTGCAAAATGGTTGATTTTGTTATGTTTTAGATTATAAAATGCATTTTCTTTGCTTTGTTAATACAGATTTTTATTTAAATATTTCATTTTTTATTAACATTATAATGAATAACATGTTATTTGTATATAATTGTAATTATATTTTATTATATTTTATATTAATTAACAATTAGATCATTATTCATAATGGCAGTATTGTACTTCATTATGTGTAAAATTAGACATGTTATTCTACACACTTGTCACATTAAATACTAAATTATTTAGTTTCATTTATTGATTAATAATCAGATAAAAGTAAATAAAATTCTTTATTATTATTTATTTTTTATATTATCAAGATGAAGCCTATTTATTAAAATTATTAAATGCATACCAAATATTAATAGATAATTATGTAATATTAGATTATTAACATCATTATTTAAATCTACAAAATGGATGATTATAATATAAACATGAGCAGATGTGCTGAGTTTTATGATTGCTGTAATGTCCAGCTATTTTGCACAGATCATGAACTTGTGTGTCTTACTAGTATTTAATGGTTATAAACCTCATTCAGTCAGAGAGCATTTTGTTAGCATCCGTCTATATTAGCCACATTAGCGTCTTTCTGATTCTCCTCATCTCCGTTTCGTCTTCATTTCACACACTTGAGTCTTTCCACACTGCGAACTGTTTACAACTTTAATGTTGTGTAAAACATCCCCTTAATGATTCTGCTCCAGATGTTGTTTGTTTGTTGCCGTCGTTTATGCTAATGGATAGTTTGATGTGTTTTTTAGGTTTTCAGACAGTCATGCCTCCCCAAGCCCCCAGTTACCAGAGCATGATGGGAGTTCAGCAGAACCAGAACCAATCGCTGGTCAGCTCTCAGGGAGGACTGACCAATCAGATTCAGAGCGTCATGGTGCAATATCCCACAATGCATCCGTACCAGGTGAGTGTTGATTTCTGCCCATTTGTCTTAAAACATTTTTATTATAATGAGGCGGTGTGTTTTATGCAACGGTCGGGTTTTCAATTTTGGCTTTCCATAAAGTGTTGTAGCATAGCTTAGCATAGATCATTGAATAGGATTGGACCATTAGCATCTCAATCAAAAGTTATTAAAGAATTTAAAAAAAATTTCCTCTTGTTTAAAGAAAATGTCCAAAATATCATTTGTTGCACTTGATCTTTTTTGTCTATAGATCTCTCTTACTATATATATATATATATTTAAGAAAGGCCATTTTCTCAAAATAGAGTCTCCACTTCACTGCTTTTCAGACATCAGTTGTTTTTTTGGTTTCTGAGTAAATTGTGGAGTAATAAAAGGAAATACACAGATTCCCTCTGTAATAAACCTCTGACTCTCAATATGTCAAAGACATTATATCCTAATTTTGAAGTTGAATCTATTTGTACTGGAAATGTGAGAATATTAATGAAACGCATATTAAAACAACATTTTAGATAACATGCACATTTTTTTAATTGTTTGCGATTTGTTAAATTAAATTTTGTTGTAAATAGGCTAAATTTACAAGTCCCCTAGTGTTAAACTGTTGAGTTTTTCCATTTTTGAACCATTCATACAATCTTCGGGTCTGACTAGAGTACTTTTAGCTTAGCATAGATAATTGAATCAGATTAGACCATTAGCATCTCGCACAATAATTATCAAAGAATTTTTAATCTTCGCTCTTGTGCTAAAAAGAAAATATGCTAAATTTATTTTGTTGCTCTTGATCAATTTGTGTCTATAGATCCCTCCTACAATATATATTTACATATTTTCATTTACAATTAAAGACACCAGTTTTGTTTTCTGGTTGAATTGTGGAGTAAAAAAAAGAAATACAGAAATTCCCTCTGTAATATACCTCTCACTCTAAATATGTCAAAGAAATTAAACCCTAATTTTGAAGTTCTGTAAATTTATGTAAAAATGTAAATGTTTTTGTTCTGGAAATGTGAGAATATCTATGAAACGCATATTAAAACAACATTTTAGTTAACATGTAATATTATTTTAAAGATATTTGCGATTTCTTAAAAGAACACTCTATTTTTTTTGTAAATATGCAAATTTTACAAGTTCCGTAGAGTTAAACTGTTGAGTTTTTCCATTTTTTTTTAAACCCATTCAGACAATTTCCAGGTCTGGCAAGAGCACTTTTAGCTTAGCTTAGCATAGATTATTGAATTTTATTAGACCATTAGCATCTCCTTCAAAAAATTACCAAATAATTTCGATCATTTTTTAATTTAAAGCTGGACTTTTCTCTAGTTTTCTTTAGTTTTATCATGTTTTGCGAATAAAAAAGCAAATTAATAGTTGCTATTTTCTACTCCAATATGGCTAGGAACTATACTGTCATACTGGTGTAATAATCAAGGCTGCCATGGCTGCAGCAGGCGCAATGATATGCCAAAAAGGCCTTAAAATAGTCCCCAAGTAGGCAGGGGTGGATTTAACCAGTAGGCAAGGTAAGCAGCTGCTTAGGGGCCCCAAATAAATACCTAAAAGTAATTATTATTTTATTTAACCTATAAACTATAAATAACATCATTTTCTAGCATATTTTGTTTGGTGCGAGTCAAACAAATACAATTTTAACCCAATTAAATATTATTTAATACACAATGAAATATAAAGTTATTATAATAATGTAATTTTATGTGATAACAATATTATAAAATTAAATATTATTATTACTTCTGCACAAATTTGTCCACCACACCCAATAGTGGAGCAGTCAAATCAGGTAAAGACTTATTTTAAAAATGTCATCATTTATGTATTTTATTATTTTTAGTTGTGTATCCATTTTAAGAAAACAAATCATTTTAAATTTAGAGATTGCATTAAGAAGAAACTTAGAAAATAAAAGGAAAAACTGCTAAATAAAAAAAAAATGAATTAAAGTAGAAACGGTGCAATTGCTTAGGGCCCCCAAATCACTACATTCGCCTCTGCAAGCAGCTAACTTCCATACTTTTAATTTTCTGTCAGTCTTAGTAAACAAAATAAATTCAAAAGAGTGTAGTTTAAAACAGAAATGTATAAAAATTGTTGGTAATTTTTGAGTGATATGCTAATGGTCTAATCCAACTCAATTATTTAAGCTAAGCTAAAAGTTCTCCTGTTAGACCCAGAGATTGACTAAATGGATTTGTTTTTTTTACTTTTTTTTATTTCGGTAACACTTTTTGACAATTTTTATAGTCCGTTTGAGTATTAGTAGACTGTTTGCTTAATATCTGTTGATACTGCTCCTTTTACACACATATTAAACTTCCTAAAAGAAACTTTGCAAGTTCATGTCAATTTACACTAACCCTAACCTAACAATCTACTTATAATCTAATGAGAATTAGTTGCCATGTAGATGCAATGTAACTTAAATTTAACTAATGCACCAATAAAAAAGTGTGACCTTTATTTCTATGGGAATTGTAAAATGAGCCTATTTTTACTATAAAATTGTTCCTTCAAAGTAGTCAAACATCAAGTATGATATTACCATATAAATTATATGATATACTATTACTTTTTCGTTTTATCCAGTTCACCACAATGTGTTGTTTTGATTGACAGGTGTCTGTTCAGCAAGGTTCTCAGAGTGTTCCTCAGGCAGCCTATCAGCAACAGATCATGTTGCAGGGACAGACCAATCAGACGCCGGCGCCCTCTGCCAGCATGCAGGTGTATTACAGCATGATGCCACCGACGCAGCACTCGAACATCAGGTGACCGGACTTGCTTTTCAGCTAATCAAATTGCAGCATGGCTTGAGGTCTAATGTCAACTTCCTGTTTGTGTGCAGCTCAGCTGTCGGTTTCCTCCCTCATCCGGGTTCAGAGCAGATGTCATTTCCCCGCGCTCCCTCGCCCTGCGGCTCTCAGCCAATCACAGCACAGCAGTGCACAGGTATGGCAGACTTCTGCATTAATCACAAACCCCCTCAGGCCAACCGGTGAAACTAACAGATTCTAGATCTAATTTGTATTAATTCAGTAACTTTCAGTAGCTACGTTTCCATACACCTATTTAACGCGCATTTTGGATATGCGCAAAAAAATGGTTGATTTAAAAACCAAGATGGCATACACTTTTTAAAATGCGCATAAAACACATATGTTGGATAATTTTTTTTATTTGATAAGAAAAAATGCGCAAAAACTACGATGGAAACACTTTTACCAAACAAATTCCAGTATGTGCATTAAAAAGGTCATGTGATTTTGTTATAAGAGATCAAGTGATGATAAAAATCTATGTGAATGCACAAATCAGCATTTTAAGCACACTGTAAAACATCTGAAATGTTCTTTTGGTCATTCTAAAACAACGTAACCAATTTAGTATTATTATTATTATATTATTAATTACCTCCAGAATAGTCAAGAGCATCTGTGCTCCACGTCTCACGCCTTCAAACGCCACCGCACATTCACTGAGTGTCAGGATTGTCTTCTGAGGCGCAAGTCATTTATTAAATGAAGAAAAGATTTACGCAGCTTCTCCTACCACAGCAAATTCTATTTTTACTGTTAATATTTGGCGCCAGTTAATCAGGAAGTGACTATTTTGTTTGCTTTGACTCGTTGGATGGAAACGCTGATTGATTTGCACATCTTTTATGTGATATTTCAGTTTTACACATAAAGTTAATTCACATTTTTGGGTGGAAACAGTTATTGATTTTTCAAATAGATATAATTTACATTTATATAAACTACAATATTATATAGCTGTAACAATTTATTTTAATTTGATTTATTTTATTATAGTGTGGATTTAAATGTTGTGTATATACAGTTGAAGTTAGAATTATTAGCCCCCCTTTGAATGTTTTCTTTTTTTTTTCTCTCCTTTTTAAATATTTTCCAAATTATGTTTAACAGAGCAAGGATTTTTTTTACAGTATGTCTAATAATGTTTTTTTCTTCTGGAGAAAGTCTGATTTGTTTTATTTTGGCTAGAATAAAAGCAGTTTTTATTTATTTTTTTTTTTATTTTAGGGGCAGAATTATTAGCCCCTTTAAGCAATTTTTTTTTCTCGATAGTCTAGAGAACAAACCATCATTATAATAATCTAATTACCCTAACCTACCTAGCTAACCTAATTAATCTAGTTAAGCGTTTAAATCTCACCTTAAGCTGTATAGGAGTTTCTTAAAAAATATCTAGTCAAATATTATTTACTGTCATCATTGCAAAGATAAAATAAATCCGTTATTAGAAATGAGTTATTAAAACTATTGTGTTTAGAAATGTGTTGAAACAATCTTCTCAGCGTTAAACAGAAATTAGGGAAAAAAATAAAACGGGGGGCTAATAATTCAGGGGGGTTAATAATTCTGACTTCAACGATATTTGAATATTAAATAAGGAACTATTCATATTAAATAACGTTTCATTGTGAATTATAATTATAAAAAAAAAATACAATTTTGTTATTAATTCCCAAGATGTTACTTGATAATGAAAACACTTTGCTTTATTAGTTTAATTTTGATAGTGAAATCTCAAACTGGCATCTAAAAGTAACGATAGCTGTTGTTTTAATTTTAATTGGATATTCTTTGCACGTCTCTCGGTTAATAAGTTGAGCACATATAATGAGCTTTATGCTGTTTTTCTCCTCAATTAAAAACAATGTTTTACTTAGCTGTGTAATTAAATGTTGTTTACAATTCTGGTTTGTGCTCGAGGCGTTTATGAAGAGCTCATCTTACTGTTCACAAGCAGAACAATCCATGTTTATCTGAACAAACCTCACTTAATGAACACTCAGCTGTGTGTCTGTGTGTGTCTTTGACCTTTCTCTGTTCAATAAAGCACCTTAATTGGCCGTTATTTGTGTTTTGTGTGGAGTTGTGCGCTATTTTTGTCTGGTATTGAATTATTCACGTGTATTTGCAGCATTGCTGATGAATATGTATGTGGTCGAGAAGCTCTGTGGTTTTAAAGGTTAATATGAATTGCAATTGTATAATCATAAATAATACTGTATGAGATGTGGTATTATTAAAAAGGAGACATTAATATTCAGGGTCTAAATTAGTTATATACTAGATGAATGAATTGTGACATTAATACATAGTAATGCTTGATAAATGCCTTTTTTTTTAAACATTTCAAGTTAATAAATATTGGATGCAACTCATTATTACTACAATGGTCTTTTACATAATACTTTACAAATATTTTTTAACATTTTGATATGTATTAAAATCCTTTAAAAAAAAAAACTTCACGTTTCTAAATAAATATTTTAGATGGATATTCTGAGTGCTATAGCCTGGACTGTGCTGTGTTTTTTAGCTGTGCCTCCGCCTCCCCCTGCTGGTGGAGTAGTGATGATGCAGTTGAGTGTTCCTCCCAGCCAGCAGCCCAGAGCCCCAACACCACCTCACTGGAAACCCACCCGCTACTACAAACCCAGCGATATTCCTCCGCAGGACGCCACACAGGTACAACCACCTCCAGCAGATCCAATATGTCCTCATTCTCACATGGCAACCACATGTAAATGCTGTGTTTCTCTCATATTATCTAGAATAATCCGCAGCAGCTGCTAAGCCCCTCCCCATCTCCAGCACAGTCACCTGCTCCCGCCCATCTGGCTAATCTGAAGGGTCCTCGTCCAGGCCATGCCCCCTTCTCCATCATGCCCCAGTTTTCCCGCCCTTATGCTCCAGCTCCAGGTCAAGGTGAGCCAACCAAAGTGTAACAAAGGACACGTTCTGACCTGGTTATTCTTTTTTGGAGGTGTAGGCTGATATATTCAGACACATTCTGGTCAAGAATTTAACTTTTCCATTAGAAGGTGGTATATTATGATATATATCATTATCAAATCGGTTCGACAGCTTATTTTTTTTCATCCGAGGGTAAGTTTTAAACGGTTTCTTCTTCTACCGTTTTCAAGCTAAAGCCTTCAAACTTCGTTCAGACCTTCAAAATGTTCTGATTTTGTGTGCTATGTCTTTTCCAACTGTTCAGACATACATTTTTGTTAAAACAAGTGATCAAATCTACAACAAAGCTAATAGCCTTCTTTTGAGGAGGGTGAAAACTTTCAAACTGTAAATCTTAAGAGCATTTAACCTTTGATTTACCCAGTCAAAGACCTCAAATGTTTATGTATATCTCGTCATTGCTTGGACAAGCTAGCAACATGCTAGAGACGTGCTAACTCATGCTAACAATATGATAAACATGCTAAATTTTGAAAATATGCTAATCAAGCCATGTTAGCCTAATGTTAAATTGTGCTAATCTGGGTCAAACCTTCCAAGATGTTTTTGACTCAGTAGATTTAATCGTATGACAAAACAAAATAACCCATTGGCTTCAATTGAGGGGGTAAAAAACTGTAAACCTTAAAAAGAGCATATAATGAACATTTACCCATTTCGTCAGATTTTCAGATGTTCATTTATATCTAGTTATCACTGGAATAACCTTAGACAAGCTAGCAACATGGTATTATGCCCAAACATATGCTAATAATATTGATATATATGCTAATCAAGACTTATTAGCAAAATGTTGAAATTATGCTAATCTGGCTCAAACCTTCAAGTTGTTCTTACTCTCTATATTTCATCTTTTGTGGCTGATCCGATAAGGTGTTTTTTTTTAATCAAACACTATCCTTTTAATTGAGGGGGTTGGGGGGTGAAAACTTTCAAACAGTAAATCTTTTAAGTAAAGCATTTAAGATTCATCCATCCAGTTTAAGAACATCAAGTGTTCATGTATACCAGTAACTTGCTCAGCCTAGGATATGCTAGCAACATGCAAGATACAAGCTAACAATATGATAACCAGGCTAAATATGTAGACTATGCTAATGAAGACATGCTGGCAAAAGGTTAAATTGTGCTAATTTCTCACTTCATCTTTTCTGATGAATCAGACTTCTCATTCATTCATTCATTTTCTTTTCAGCTTATTCCCTTTATTAATCAGGGGTCGCCACAGTGGAATGAACCGCCAACTTATCCAGCATATTTTTTACGCAGTAGATGCCCTTCCAACTGCATCCCAACACCGGGAAACACCTATGCAAACTCATTCACGGTCAATTTAGAAATACAGAACTGCCAACTGACCCAGCCGGGGCACGAAGCAGCAACCTTCTTGCTGTGAGGCGATCATGCTACCCACTGCGCCATCGTGACAGGATCAGACTTATGCTTTTCATTAAAACATTTGATCAAAACTATTAAAAAGGAATTGAGGGGGTGAAAACTTTCAAACAGTACATCTTACAGAGTATTTGACATGCATCAATCCATCTACCTATTACTAGCAAAGCCTAGGATGTGTTTCGACAATGTTTTATCATTACAACCAATCAATTTGTAGAGGAATAACTTCGATTTTACAATGGCAACAAATTCTAAACATTTTTAGTTAGACCAGCAGTCCTTTCCGGGGAACATCTGTGCTTGATATTGGAAGATTTTGAAACTTTTATAGAAAATAATGTAATATTAGCATTTACCCAAACCCAGAGAAACTGAATAATGTCTTTAATTTATCCATAGCTGTATTTCACAACAATAGTATCTTTGTGTTTGTTGGATTATGAAGCAGAAAACACTCATTACAGTATTTTTTGCCGGTCCTCCATTAACATCCAGCATGTGTTTTTTTTTTTTTTGCTGTGTTTTTCAGGTGACGGCAGGTATCCTCCTCTGATCGGGCAGCCGCTTCAGTATAACCCTCCCATCAGACCCCCACTAATGCACGGCTCTCATGTGGTCAACCACCACCATCATCACCATCTTCATCACCACCAGGTTGAACACGCACACACACTCTCACTCACTCATGATCGCACACATCCAGCGTCATCTTCATCCTCCTCATGGTCATGTTAAGCGCAGTCGTTCTTCAGCTCATGCTCCGCTCTGTTGTCGTGTCTCAGGGGCCTGTGGGTGTTCGGCACGGCGGCCGCCCTCGAAGACCCGCAAAGAAAACACTGTCTACTGACATGAGCCAAGGAGAGATGGGTAGGAAAACACACATTCATATACAGCGTGCAATATGCGTTCATAGTACACATTGGTTCTAATGCAGTACTACTATTCAATACAAATTAGCTTTTTACGTAGGTTTACGTTAGGTAGATTGTAGTTTAGTAAAACGAATGGAAATAAAACTGAACTATATTTAGTATAGTATTTAGTATTATTAAATAATACATGTCGTTTTTTGTTTGAGAATCATACATTTGAATAAATTCATATAAAATTAATAAATTTTTTTGAGTGTGTATATAAATGACAATATCATGAGTTTCATGATTGTGTATGCCATAAAAATGAATTTCTGTTGTATATACTGTATACACTGAAGCAGAGCTATTCAATTGGCGGCTCGTGGGCCAAGGCAGTTTGTTCCGGCCCTCCCAAATAGTGTGACAAAGACAATTTATTAATTTAAATGAGTTTAGTTCAGTGAAAAAACAGCCATTATATCTATGAAGTGACACGCACCTTATCAAAACAGCACGAGCTGCAATTGAAGGCTGCACCGAGCGTTAGTCACCTGACATAAAACGAGTGGTGTGAGCAACTGAAAACATTTGGATACTTATTCGTCAAGACTTCTCAACACCCCGTTTCTGTTGCTCAGAACGACACTGCTGCAACTAAACAAAGTTATGACAACTGTGCGCTTGTTTAAAGTTTCGAGCTTATACACCAAGGCTAATATGCACGCACACTGGATTAACTATAGCAGCGGGCCATTCACATAATGCGTCTTTTCCACGCGCAAGTTTGTTATTTCCAATGTAAGAATATAAGCCAATATGTGTGCGCAAGTAGAGCAACGCGCTTGCGCCTTCCAGACACACTCAGTTGAAAACATCTCATGCCGTAGCGGTGAGAGTTGTGCATGGCTTTCAGTGCAATGTAAACAAAAGACATGTTAGACGAATTATTAAAATGATTACGCATGTATGAACGCAGATGATAACAACCGTTCATCATAAAGCTTAAATTTACATTAGATGTAATAACTGTGAAATCATGATTATTGGTCAGACTATATAATTGTACAACCAAAATCTATAATTGTTGCATACCTAATTATGCAGATCGAAATGTATGAATGTGTCTGAATGTAGAAGAAGCCCACTGCACTGCACTGCTTTTGTTGTGCTTTAAAATACAACGTTTGAATGTATGTAAAAAAGCCACATTGAACAAAGCAGTAATGTTATGTCGTTTCAAATTACAACATATTAACATTTTAATGCAGAGAAAGCCAGCATGGGTGTCTTAGGCAGCAAAAATACAGCATATGGGCTCTTATATGCTGTTGTGTCTTCACTCATATTGCAAGTCATATCACTCCGGCCCCTCATTTGGGATGCTTTTTATGAACTGGCCCCTTATGACAAACTAATTGAAAAGCCCTGCACTAAAGTGATTACACTTAGAATTAAGTTATATAATAATTTAATAATAATATAAATATATTTTTATACATTTTTATTAATAATAATAAAAATGTAAATACATAATTTTTAAATTTTGTATATAAAACACAAGTAGCAGTGCAATATGGCTGTATATCGCCACTGGTGGGAGGCATGCGTTGGCTCAAGGCTACAGGCCGAGTGCTTTAGTGTCTCAACATTAACGATATAGAGCCATATCGCACTGCTACTCGTGATATTTTGTTTGTACAATAGTTTGACGGCATAATCGAGTATATAAATAGAAAATTTAAAAAAAATAGTCAAAAAATTATTTTGTACAAGGAACTACTTTCTTGCACCATTCAACCATATCTGCAGCTCACTGTCAAAACAGCAGGAACTGTTGCTCATTCACCAACGTCATAGTAAAGCTAGTATTTGAATGATTCTCTAGTGTAATGTCTGAAGCAGGGGTGGGCAAACTCAGTCCTGGAGGGCCGGTGTCCTGCGCAGTTTAGCTCCAACTCTAATCAAACACACCTGCTTATAGATTTCTAGTGCTCTTCAAGACACTGATTAGCAAGTGTAAGGTGTGTTTGATTAGTGTTGGAGTTGAACTGTGCAGGACATCAGCCCCCCAGGCCCGAGTTTGCCCACCTCTGGTCTAAAGTGATGACAATACAGGTGATTTTGCTTAAATTTTAGGATTATAAGGCTGAAAGGCATGAAATGCTATCAGTCTACAGAAGTTTCCCAGTAATTCTCTGTTGCAATGGGGAGATCACAATATGTAGCCCTGAAAAAGCTAAAGCAAAGCAAACACTACCAGATTACTATAGTATAAATACAACACTACACCATACACAAGAGAGAGGTTAACTTAGAATGTCACTTACCTGTTCTCTAATGATTTGATCAGCTGTAATATGAAATTCACGCCGTGTTTTTCTCCCCTAAAGACTAATGCGGTCTCTGTTGCCATCTTGTGGCAGAACGTCAACTGTTTTTGCTCTGCTCAGTATGACAGGCTAATGGCCGCCAGCTCACTGAATCTCCAAAATTACACACATTTAAAACAGGCACTATCCTTATAAATAAACGGCATAGTTGCAATCTAAACAACTACATTCACGACTAATAAAGCCTCAAAAGTACATAGTTGTCCAACTGTAGCAAGTTTATTGATCTGTTACTCTAAATTGGAAGAGCTGTAGGAGTGTTGTTTTTGCAGATATCAGCCAATCAGATTCGACAACCAGACAGAACTGTTGTATAAATATATATATCTATATGTATATGTAGCACCATGTTATTCATAATCTGTTTCTATCTGTCGTGTTTCGTTTGTGTTCAGACACGGGCCGTGTTTTGGAGGTGACTGATCTTCCGGCTGGCATCAGTAGAGTGGAAGCCGAAACTTTATTGGCAGAGCTAAGCAAAGTCGGCGCCGTCATCACATGGTTGCCCGAACCTCTGTCCCCAAATCAACCAGAGGGAGCGGAAGTTACGAACACTGAGCCTACCAAACCGCCCCATCATGACCTGGCGTCCAAATACACCATCCTGGCCTTGTTCCCCTCGAAATGCGCAGCACAGAACACGCTCCACAAACTTAACAGCTCCATCACCAAATTCAGACTGAGAACTAGCAAGGCACAAAATGAACAGCACACGCTCGCCAGATCCAGCTCTCAATGAGGCCACTCCCCCTGCCCGCTCTCCACCAATCAGTACCATCGTCTCACGCTCACTTCCTGCCATTTCAGTCACGCCATTTTTCTTTTTCTGTTCGTTCATTTTTCGCACCACTACGGCTTGATCGAAACGGGTTTGTTACTTTCGAATGGGTTTTTCACTGTAGTTTGTTAAAAAAAATGGAAAAAAACAACGCAAAAATTTCAAATTTGTTCTTTCGCGGTTTCAGATCAATTTAATCGAGCTTGTTTAAACGAAACCAAAATGCTTATTTTTTAATAGATCAGGATTGCAAGGCTGAAACCGAAGCATGTTGTTTTGGGGTTTTTTTGTTTTGTTTGTTTTGTTTTTATTGCATCACTTCATATTGTTCGTACGAAGAAAAAAAAACCTTGCATTTCGTTTAAAACGAAAGGAAACCAAACTGACCCATGAACATGAAGACAGGACAAGGGAACACTTCGACCTGTGCCTTCGCACTGTTTACGCCGAACAACGACGAAGCCAGAAAAACGTCGTCCAAAAATTCGTAATTTATACTGTTTGCAGCATCCAAAAAAGCAAGTCATTTATTCTGGGCTGTCCAGTTTGTCAGACTGAGTGCTTTTTCTAAGTTTTAACTTAATTTAAACATTGACAGAAACGGCGCCGCGGCCAACAACGAAGGTTTTATCGCTCTCTTTCTCTGTGTGTTATGACGGACAGCAGTCTATTTCTGGGTTTTTACAATATTCTTAACTCATTCAGAGTCACTGGAATAAAAGTTTGCACTCTTTCTCACGTCTTTCCCCCATTTTCTTTCTCTCTCTTGCAATTTTTTTCCCCCACTTTATTTTATTTTTGTTGCGAGATGTGTGGACTATGAAAGGCTGTACAATGTTTGCTGGTGCAAGTTGTTTTTATCTCAGTTTGAAACCAATAAATGTTTACACATAACGGTTTTTCACCTCCTTAACGTCTTTATTGACTTTAGAGTGATTGAATTGATAAAGACAGAGAAAAAAAAAACAATAGAAAAAATAGATGTCCTTAAATAAAATGTGTTATTTTATCTTTGACATTAATAAAACAATACATATAGGCATATAGAATTTTGTAATTGTGCATGTATAGTTATTTGCACAGATGTCAAATCCAGTTCCTGGAGGGCCGCCACTCTGCACAGTTGAGTTCTGACTAATTAAACATAACCGATTCAACGAATCGAGTCCTTCAGTTATGTTTAAAACCTACAGGTAAGTGTGTTGAAGCAGGGTTGGAACTAAACTGTGTTGAGCTGCGGCCGTCCAGGATCTGGATTTGACACCTGTGATTAAAAGGAACACTCCACTGTTGAAATAGGCTTATTTAACAGCTGTCTAGAGTTCAACGGTTGAGTTTGACCATTTTTTTTAATCCATTCAGCTATTTTCTGAGAACTTTTAGCTTAGCTTAACATATCATTGAATCAGATTAGCATTATCCATTAGCATCTTGCACAAAAATGTAAAAAAAATTGTTTTAATAATGTTCCTATTTAAAGATTTACTCTCCTGTAGTTACATTGTTTACGAAGACAGACATTAATGTCTGCTGCTGCAACTATGGTATGGTAATTGTATAATGGCCGCTATTCACTATCGAAATGTTTCTTTTTCCATGGTGCTGAAAACTGAGCTTTTTTTAATGCAGTTACTACAAGTGAGGCAGTCGTTGCCTTTGAAACACAAGTGTAATGTAAACAGCATATGGACAAGCAGATATTTCTTGTTTTATTTTTACGACTTTTTAAAAATCTGAATAAAGAAAACAGGCTTAAGTGGAAGTTAAGCTGGAATCGTACCTGACTGCATGTTCAACCGTTGTCACGACAATGTAAAAGTAGATGACGTAAACTTTTATTTTGGTATTTTTAGATTTGCTAATATATCGAGGTTATCGTTGTTATATAAAAGCATGAGGTGAAAGGACACGTCGTCGATGTTACGGTTGAAATACACGAGAATCCAGGTAAAGTCTAGAAGGTATGCAGCTTGTGGAGACTTAAGCCTGTGTGATATGGGGGCTCGTGTGGCTCGAAAGGACCACTGTTAAAGGTCCAGAATTACATGAGTTCATTTGTACTATTTTGACTGCTATGCCATAATTAATAAGCAAACCAGATGGCTTTGAGACCAAGCGGAATCCTCTTTTGGCTCTTGATTCAGCGTGACTGAGAAAAGTTGAATGTGCTGGCCAGTTTGTTTGCCTAATAAATGACAATAGGCTAGTTTTTCATTTAAAACTTAATCAGCATCTTTTTTTTTTCTGATGAAATATGATGCAACACATTTGTTTTTGAAAAATAAGCATTATTCTCTTATTTTGTTTTTCTTCTAAATCTTTAGGAAAATTTTTTGGTACATCAAAAAATGTGTTTGATGTCCACTTGACAAGCTAATCCAGCAAAACAAAGTGCTTTAAAAGTATTTAAACAGAAAATGAGTCTAATAACTGCAAAAAGCTCCTTATTTTAAGAAAAAAGAACCACCTTTTTCACCAGGCTGGCTGGGGCCTGTAAAGTATATTTTTTGTGATGCTGTTCAACAATAACTATTGTTTTAACGTTACTGTGAGGATATGTTTTGTGTTGGGGTAGGATTAGACATTAACAAAACGTAACGCAATGTGTAATTTAATAAATGATAACAATAATTGTCGCTAACTTGAGGCTGGAGCTATGTTTCCTTTTAGCAAGCTGTAATTCTCTTGACGTCCAAAACTACTTTCACAATGCGTCCATAATAATGTTTGTGTCTCAGTTGTACGTTTTGTTGTTTTTAGACTTCACGCACGAAGACCTGAGATTTACTCTGGTAAGTTTGAGCTAAAGTGAATGAATTGCACTGAAGGGCTGTGGTTTATGAGTTCAAGGGTCACTCTACAGCAGGGGTGCCCAAACTCAGTCCTGGAGGGCCGATGTCAGCTCCAACTCTAATCAAACACACCTGAACCAGCTAATCAAGCTCTTATAAGTATACTAGAAACTTCCTGGCAGGTGTGTTGAAGTTGGAGCTAAACTTTTTAGGACACCGGCCCACCAGGACCGAGCCTGGGCATCCCTGCTGTGCAGAAACGTATACCTTTTGGTATGGCAAAATGTCTAAAAAATTATTATTATTATTTTAAATATATTTAAACTTCGATAACTTTAATTACGCTTTTGATTTTATGAAAACGCATGAATGACTGTGTAATGATTTAATCAAGATCACGTCTACCATTTGTCACTTGTGTTACCTACTTTTTGACACTATATAATATCAATATTTCTTGTTGTTGTTTTTTTCCAGCACATGTACACAACATGCAGGATTCCACACAATCCTTTCATGGTTTCCCAACACAAATCGATTAGGTTAACCTAATCGTTTTTACAAATTTAAGTGGATTGTACATAAAACAGTTAAGTTGTCCCAAACAAACTGAAGAATAGTGTTATTTCAAGTAGTTTCAACAAGCATCAAAAGTATTTTTTTAGTGTAATCAGAGATGCAGAAAAACAATGATAATGCAAAAGATTGTGTTTCATTTGTTTCTATCAAGTTTGTTTAAAGTGTTCAGTGTTACCTCATTTCTGCTCCCACACATTTGCTTTAAAAATGAAAATATTTGAAAAACATCTTTAAGTAAACAGTAATGAAGCAAATTTTCATTGTGATTATTGAGGGTAAAATTAGATGCGAGATTCAAAATTATTATCTTTAAAATCATTACGTATCTCAATACATTATTTTAAAATGACGAGGGGGGGAACAATTCCAACTCCAGGGCACCACTGTTTTTAATTTATATTTTGTCATATTTATTTGCCGCTTTCCTTTTTTTAATAACATTTTACATCATATATTGGATTATGGATATGTTATTGTATTTGAAATGGTAGAAAGATGTGTTTTTTGACCTAATTTAAAGCACCTTCTCCTAATCCTTCTGAATATGAGCAATTCCAGCATTATGGATGTGACATTTACAGTAAACATTAAAAACATACATTCACAGAAAAAGCTTACGTTAATGTTATATTGAAGCATCTGTTTATATTGTCCAAAACAACTATACACAGAGTTATGGGATAAAAAAAAATCAATCTGTAAACATTTTTTTTTTTAAATAAGGAAAATAAACGTGTTATGGATGTGACCAAAAAAGTTAGCGAGTTTACAGTATACAGCATACTTAGTAGAATTTCTGTCAATAAAACCACACACCCTAAAAGAAGCAATGCTAATCAAGAGGATAAGAGTTTGCCTACTATGGAGCAAACATGATTGATTTTATTTTATTTGACATTTTTCCATTTATGAGGAGAAAGCTTCGTTGTGAATGTGACAGATGTGAAATTGGCACTTGTGGAACTTTGATAAATCAAATATAATAGTTTGAAAACGCTGAGAGACATTTTTGGGTATTTTACTTAGTACAAAATGCGTACTTATACACAAATGTACATGTTTTTCATGGCAAGGTTGACATTTGCTTGGAATTGCTCTCAGGATTGTTGGGGATGAATTGTAATGTTTGGAATTGTAATTATTGCCATGTTATAAACTCATGGCTTACAGTGAATATTGCTGAAGATTTAGAAGTGAACTGAAAAAAAAAGTATTTTGGAGATATTCATCCTCCTGTTTGATTGAAAGATTGATTAAAGAATGTGAATAATTAGCTATTCTTTGATTAGAGTTTTCTGATATCAAAGAAAGAAACAATAAGCAGTTTTATTACTGTTTATTGTGATCTAGACGTCCATGTAGCTGCTTTCATGTTAATTTATTGGATTGTTTTTTTTTTTGGTTTGCAAATGATGTAATGCAGTGCAACCATCAAGTACTTTAAGTACTAAAAGACATTAGGCTTAACACTACTAATGTGCTACATATATAAATAATCAACTTAGATCATAATAATTTAGAAGCAGCATTTTAAATCAAAATATTAATGATTGTTATTATATATTAAAATGATTTCTGTTATGATTATGATTTCTGTTATGATTAATGTATACAACTATATATATATATATATATATATATATATATATATATATATATATATATATATATATATATATATATATATATATATAAATAAAGCATGCAATGGTTTGTTCTGAAGACTATCGAAAAAATAGCTTAAAGTGGATAATAATTTTGACCTTAAAATGTTTTTTAAAAAATTCAAAACTGCTTTTATTCTAGGCAAAATAAAACAAACAAGACTTTCTCCAGAAGAAAAAAATATTATCAGACATACTGTGAAAATTCCTTGCTCTGTTAAACATAATTTGGGAAATATTTAAAAAAAGAAAAAGAAATTCAAATGGGCACTAATAATTATGACTTCAAGTGTGTGTGTGTGTGTGTGTGTGTGTGTGTGTGTGTGTGTGTGTAATCATTATTGTTTTTATTATTATTGTAAATAAATTTGAAGACAAGTAAGACAAAAATGATCTGTTTTTCTAAAAATATTATTTTAAACTAATTAAAATAACATATAAATATAACAATTTAAATGTCTGAATGTCTTATTTTAATACATTCGTGATAGTTTAGGACGTTGAAATCAGAACATTAACATTTTATTTACCTGTAAAATCAATATATGTATAAACAGTAATATTTTAAATCATACCAGTAACATGGTAAAAAAAAAATTACCTAGATATAACCTAGAATAATTAATTCATTCATTTCTTTTCCGGCTTAGTCCCCTTATTAATCTGGGGTCGTCACAGCGAAATGAACCACCAACTTATCCACTATCCAGCATGTTTTACGCAGCAGAATCCAGCCACAATTAACCCAGCATTGGTTAACACCCACACACTCTTGCACACACTCGCATACACTACTGCTAATTTAGCTTATTCAGTTCATCTGTACCGCATTTACTTGTGGGTGAAACCGGAGCACCCGGAGAA